AAAAAGAAAAAAGGGAATCCCTACCTACCGACCCTAATTTTTTCTGGACTGTAATAGGAAACACAACATTTATTTTGTTAGGCCTGAGTGAGTGAGTGAACAAATGAATAATAAATGAATGAATCAATGAATGAATCAATGAATGAATGAATTTTTATTATTTTTGTCTTGTGACTTTTTGTTGCCCAGCCCATATGGGTGCAAAATATGTACACCAGTGTATATATATACACCAGTGCAAAACTCACATAAATCCAAATCAAAGGTCATACTGGAGACTGTCAAACAAGGAACTTAATCTGTAACATTAAAGTGGTATATAACATAATTGATACATAAAAGTAAAGTCAAGGTACATAAGTACATTAAGTCAAATCAGCCGTTGTACTGTCATCATATATAGATGTAGTACTTTCTGTTGGACAATCAGTTGAGCGCCATTTGGCACAAATGTGGACATACTATATAGTTATCTTTGTTCAGAATTGTTTTGTGTTTGCTGCAAATTATTTGTATTTTCATAGCAATTTTGCAAAAATTGAAGGGATTCTGCTAATGGAAAAAGAGTGTTGGTCCCCCTAGCTGCTTTCTGTAGAACTGCAGATGAAGATGTTTGACGTGTCTTGCTACAGTTTGTGGGAGTACCGGGGAGGGTGCTAGTCTGTCCATGGCTGAGAGAAAGATGCTGGCAGAAAAATGGGTGTCAGCAGGCAAGGGCAAGTAAGTACATGTACAACTTGGGAGTTTTTGTTTCCAACCTGATCCGAAAATTGTCAACATTCATTGTAGGTGAGGTAATTAATATATGTCTTTGTTTCTTCTTAACTTCCTAATTGAAGTTCATCACTTTTCTGTCACAAAAGTTAGCTGTAGAAGCATTTGGTGAAATTTGAGTGATTCTGACAATCACTAATACTAGTAACATTCTTCCTGCTGAAGTACATTTGTACATGTACATGCAGCCGTCTAGCACCAAATTTGTATTGGTTATTTGGCTAGGCAGCAGAGGGAAGCTCAAAAGGAAACAGGGATGGTACATTTGTATTCTGAGCCCTGATATGCCTTGTTGTAACTGTACGGTAGCCTATGTTTGGTCCACAATTTTTAAGAAGAATACAATGTGGCTGCCAAATGTTGCATGTGTCTCATTGTTCTCTATCTTTGTAACAATTGAGTTTCTTTTCACTTGTATTATTTACGTTTGTACCATGTTATACCTGTCATGGGCTCCCTTGAAAATCAGGCAAAAGGGACTACCGGGTACTTCCATTAGTGTATGTGTGTACAAGATTGATAAATAAATGAATGAAACATCTCATTTTTTTCCAGGCTGACCAATGTGATTGTCCACGTGGGTGGCTGCAGCATCACGGACAGCCAAGAACTGGTCAGACATCCTCTTACTTCTATACATGTACTCATGATCAGTATACTGCAAGTGTTTCTTCTTTATTTATTTGACTTCTCCATTGCAAACTGGAGGGGGAAACAAAATACTGTAACAATGTAGGCAATTTCTTGCCTCTGGTTGTCTTCCTAGCCACACCACTTCAATATCTTGGTTATTACAAATTATCACTGTTTTGTTTGTGTGATTGTTTTAGAGTACACATAGTGCCAATGGTTGACATTTGAGCTCCTCACATCTCAGTCAAATTACCTTCCTGAAAATGTGTTAATATGTTGTTAAAAATATAATGTGTTTATCTTGTTCCCCTCTCCAGGCGCGTCATGCAGAGAGTATCGGTGCCCAGGCTATCGCCTCCCTCCCAACCTGTGTGTTTAGGCCCACCACTGGGAGTAAGTATCAGTGTAACAGCATAACATGTTAACCTAAAGGTTCTGGGTTCAAATCCCTTCCAGGTTCCAATGTTGTGCCCTTGGTGAGAATGAGTTTTTTGCTGTACCTCACCATGGCAAAACATGAAGCCCCATGGTATAGTTTTATTTTCCACCCCTATCAGTGTTAGAAAATAAAAAAATCAGTATTACAAAAAAAAACTAGTTCGCAATAATATGTATAGTCTCCACCAGATAGACTCCATTGCAGGCTGAAGAAATAGTAGAAATTGGCCTAAAAATAATTTAGCTAGCCAGTGAAACTGGACCCTCCAACTCCCCTGGCCAGCTACATTCTTTTTAGGCCAATTTCTACTATCAATTCAGCCTGCAATGGAGTCTGGTGGGGGAGACTACAATACAATGTACATGAGTCAACCTTGACTTAACAATGTTGGATTTGTTTAAAGTTAAAACTTTTGGTCCAACATAAAAAGTTCTCTCACCTAGAGTTTTTGACCAGTCACTCTGGTCTTCCTCAGTAGACTGACCCAGTGAAGCTTGTCACGTGGCTTCTTTGAAGTGTGACGTCAACACTGGGTCAAAGGTATCTGGTAGACGATGTCGGCCCCCGTCACGGTTCAATGAAGGGTGATGGGCCCTGATGTATATGGCTTCCTTCACCCCTCTTTGTGTTGGAACAAAAGTTTTAACTTTAAACATGTAACTACCAACACAGATGAACTTTCATGACAATGTTGGATTTGTTGTGTTTACAGAACAGGTAGCTGAACAGCTGCAGATCATTGGTGCAGCTGCCCCCAGTCTGCCACTGTTCTACTATCACCTGCCAGACATGTCCAAGGTCAACAGTAAGTCATCCACATGCCTGAATGTACAAAATTAATGGTAAAAATAGCGTGTATACTCGCAGGTTCAGTGACTTGGCCTCTGAACCTTAAGGTGTAAGGTTCTTATGAACGTCTTATAGACCTGCTTGCTTACCACTGAATATGGCTGACTAGTATACCAAAGAATTGCACCTTAAAGGAGCATTATGTAACATTTTTACACCTACAATTGAAAGATTTTATTTTAAAAAATTTAAGAAATATTTGTGTAACGGTAATTTACACTCACTTTTCAACATATTGGTGCAATAATCTCACATTGCTGACATTTATTGTTGGTGCTAAAATAGTCCAACAAGGTGCACTCAGTTTGTGGTGTCACCACAAACTACCAGAATGTAAACAAACATGGCTGACAGCTGTGTTTCAAGCTTCAAACCCGTGATATGTCATATTTTGGCATCCACACTTCCTGAATGGTGCTAATTTGCAATGGAGTAGGGTTGATCCAAATTACTTTGTAAAGAAATGACCAGAAAATTTACTTTCTTATCATCCTAAAGTTACATATTGCAGCTTTAACTTACATTAAACTTCTTTTTTTCTCTCAGTCATGGTGGAGGACCTGTTTGATGCGTTAGAGACAGTAAAAGTGCCGACGTTCCGGGGGTGTAAGTACACAGACTATAACATGATGGACTTCGGACGATGTCTGGTACACAGCAACGGGAAATACATCATGATGTATGGCAGGGATGAGGTGAGAGAACTTATACTCAAAAAATCTTTAATTACACTCAAGTACAATTTTATTAGGCTTAAAAAAACTGTTGTGTTTCCTGGTTCAGTCCTGAAGAAATTAGGGTTGGTAGGTAGGGATTATCTTTTTTTTTCTTTTTTTGACACTTTGGCGATCTCTCTAAGTGATTCCATGCACTTATCCATTTGTTTCACAAAGTAAAACTTGCATGAGGACACTTATATTTTCAATGTCAATGTTGGAAAACTGATTGTACAACATTTCATCACTCAGGTCTCAGATCATATGGAGCTACATGTAGAAAAGGTTGATCAGCTTAAAAAATTTATGTCCCATGCAGGGGTCCACACAAAAAAAAAGCTAGAGTTGGCAGTTTTTTCTAGGGTCGGTTTTGAAACAGGAAACACAACATTTTTTTCTAGGCATTACGTATTTTGTGACTAAGATGAAAACTCGGCATTGGAGAAAGATGAGAGAATTTACATTACATTTGTTTTCATCATTAATAATCCTCTCTTAAGAGTAAAAGCTAGTAAACATTCTGTTGATCTTTCAATGTTTCTGTCGTCATGCAAAACCACATGTACATGTACCAGTTCCTAAGAAAAACTACTGGAACCTGTACATGTGCCTGTATGTGATGTTATGTTTAGGTACATAATTATGTAATAATGTATGTATTTGCCCTAGTTGTGACCATTGCCTCTGTTTTTGTGAATTCTGCAGCAAGGTCTGTGTGCTTTGGTGATGGGAGCCACAAGTTTTGTGGGAAGCACCTTCAACTATTCGGGTAAACTTTCAACAAGCTTTTTCTACTCTAAATGCTACAGAAAGGTAGATTTGAATTGACAATCATAACTGAGTTATAATATCCCACACAATTCATCCTTAGATCTGACATATGATAATCTTTATTTTGTCCTGTCCATAAATTTGTATTCGCCCCGTTCACAAATCCCACAATTCCTTGCGCGACGGACAACATCCGGTCTAGTTTCGAACTCTCAAGCTTGCATGGCGGCGGCTTTTGCCGTCAGAAAACAAAAACCCATTTATCAAGGTTCTAGGTGTTGCGTGCCGGGGTGTAAAAACCGACAGGGAACAGATACGGTAAAGAGGTCCTACTATAAGTTCCCTCAAGGAGAGGCAAATCGACATTTACGTCGACTGTGGGAGGCCAGCGTAAGGCGAGTGGACTGGGTCCCTAGCAACTACGACAGGATCTGCTCAGATCATTTTGTAGGAGGTGAGTTTAATAGTCAGTACGATAATTCGTATCTGTGTATTTTAACAACTACCCTGCCCCTCACAAATAACGTTTATCTTACGCCGCGTTATGTGATATGATTTGGCTATGACGCCCCCTCCCCCCACCGTCGATCGCGTCGAGTGGTCTGTAGTAACGTTACATAAAATTGGTGGATGTGATTTCATTTCAAAAAGAACTCAGACCATGGTAGAATTAAGCAATGCAAATTACGTTCGTAATGAAGTGAAAACTATGTTGTTCAGCGGAGACATACATGTATTATCATTCATTTTTTTCAATACTGGTTACAAATGGAAATTATGATTACATATGCTGACCTGTGTAAGTGTAACATTTTGGAATTTGGTCAAAATTTCAGAGATATTCCACAGAGTATACATGTACATTTTTGTAGTTATCTTTTGAGTTAATACAATTTTCTTTTTCCTGTTTTTTTGTAGGGAAACGCACCCATACGAAAGGGTCTGCGGGTTACATACCAAGTGTCTTCCCTTGGCAAAAAGTTTGTCAATCCAGAACTTCGAAAACAGCAATACAGGCTGGGACTGTGACACCAGTACCATGGCGCCGTCACGACACATGGTCCCCTAGCCCTGAACATGATCAAGAGACCCCAGGACCAAGCAATCGCCAAATTGCCTTCGCACAGCAGCGGGAAAGGAAGAAGCAAGAGGAAGCAAGAGAAAACTCTAGACACGTATGGAAGGTAACATGGACATGACTATGTAGAAACAAGTAAAGAGAAGCCTTCCATATATGATGAAGAATTGCCAAGACTGTACAAGAAAATCCAGGAGTTGGAAAAGGAAAATTCACAGCTGAAGCAGAGAGTATTTAGTTTGGACACTGTAAAAGAGTGTGATAAAGATTTCCAGAGGTACACAAACTTACCAAACTTTGCAGTATTTTCTGCAGTCAGTGACTATTTGAAGAAAATATGTAAAGGTCACCTAAAGTACTGGCGAGGTCAGGAGACTGACTGCACACCTACCAAGAGGAGTGGAAGAGAAAGATCATTATCTTTTGAAGAGGAGTTCTTCTTAGTACTTGTGAAATTAAAATCAGGGGATTTCAACCAACAAATCGCGGGCCGATTCGGCATAAGTACCAGTCAAGTTTCCAAGATATTCACGACATGGTTGAACTTTCTCCACAGAGAGCTTCGGTTGCTGTTCGAGATGAAAACCAGTTGGGATAAACCAGAAACGTGAGAGTTACTTCTGACTTTGAACATTACTGTGTCCACCACAGAGCTTTAATACCTTCGCCAAGAAGGTTTTGTTTTCAGTAGCATTTGTGTGTGTGTGTGTGTGTGTGTGTGTTTTGTGTACGTGTGTACGTGTGTGTATGTGATTTAGCACAATAACTCAAGAAGCTTTTGATAGATTGCCATGGAAGTTGGTAGGTGGTATGAGATCATGGAATTCTTGTTCTACCTAAATACACTTGGATTTTAACTAATATACTATGAAGGATGTTCTGACTGATAGTAGTAGTCAATGTAACAACAGACTAAAACTTCAGTATATACATGTATTAACATATGTGGAAGCTGAAGCTGTTGTGTCTTTTACAAACTGACATTGTTTTCATTAACATTAGCAAGGTGTCATTTAGTTTAGGCAACACATAGCACATGTCGTCATTATCTCTCTACCTTACAACTCCATTATGATCAATAATTTTCATTTATTTCAGAATCCCTGAGTGCTTCAGACGGTATGATCGACTTGTGTCAGTCATCGATTGTACAGAACTGCAGGTGGAAATGGCAGGAACGCTGCAAGCGAGAAAGGAGACTTACTCTAAACTATAAGAACAGAGACACGATTAAGTTTATGGTAGGCATGTCACCCAACCTCACAGTTAACTTTGTCTCCAAGGCATATGGAGGGCGTGCGAGTGATAAACACATAACCCTAACAAGTGCAGCATTTATTAACCAGCTACCACCAAAGTCTGTAATCATTGCTGACAAAGGATTCAATGTTTCTAAAGAACTTCAGAGCAGGGGGGTACAGCTCATTGTACCTGACTATAAGGGTCGTGGTAGGTCACAGTTTTCAGCCCAAGAGGCTGCTAGTTCTGAATGTATCTCTAGTGCACGGATACACATAGAGAGAATTATACAGCGCATTCGTACTTTTCATATTCTTGGGTCTACTATTAAGATTTCTCAACAAGACATAACAGAACAGATCTTCAGTGTTTGTGCCTATTTAATAAATTTCCAGATGCCCATTGTCAACCTTCGTCAGAAACTACATGCAGACACTTCCATTTCTGAGCACACAAACAACACAACAGAAGAGAGCATCTTTGATTTCATTTAGATATACTGAAACTAAGATACTAGTACAATCAGTGAATTTTTAAAGGCAAGTGTTTAAATTGTAACTGCTGCTGTCACTGGGCCGGGCTGTGTTTCTGTACTTGCGATGGGTACAGCATGGCTGATACCGTTCTTCTCAGCTGTAGTCTTGTAATGTTGTATTTGATGACTCACTGAAATACATGACAGTAAACAATGACATGATTTAATGACAGGAAGGGTATCATGTTGCTTGTGTATGCACTCTGTAACAACTGTTAGTACTTTTATCACATCTAAGTATTGCTGCACTTGGTGCCTTGTTAGAGGGCATGATATTGACAATTGATGTGACATTTATTTATTTATTGATGTGACTTATAGTAACACAAGAATATGATACTTGTGTATGCATTCTGTTACAACTGTTAGTATTTTGATTATGTGTTACATTTGTTCATTTCTAGTCTCTTAGTACTACTTAACATTGTTGATATATGAATAAAGTGACAAACATGCATTTACCACATTGTCTGTATCCACCTCCATATCTGAGTCTGTGTCGCTCTTGTCCACAATGTAGGTGGCGTTGGGGTGATTCTGTCGTCTGAACAGTTCAGGTACAAGATGACTCAGGAAGAAGTTGTCCAAATGTTGCTCTAGGTTAGCCCAGAAAATTGGGTCAAAGTCAACATGAATTACTTCGATGTCCTTCACAGTGTAGACCACAAAGTCACACTTGGAAACATTTGTGATCGCCATACACCCTTGAACCTGCTCGAGGTAGCCATGGTTGCCTCCTTTCAGTGCCAATGTATTGCCTACTTCTTCTATATACTTGATCTTTGTGTTGCCCCTTATTGCTTCATGGGCTGCACTGTATGGGCATTTTGATCTCCAGGATTCTAGGTGGGCAACAGTCACACAACACTACTCCATCCGGACTAGCCCTCAGGTATGATTTGGTGTTGTGTACAATCAACCCTGTCTCCTTTATGACTAAGTTGGAATGTTTGGTCTTCTCCTTGTTGAATATGCATTTCTGGCAAGTGACTCGTTTGCTACTCCCCATTTGATACTCTTGGCATTTGGTAGTGGAGGAGGCTTTGTAAGGTTCTTGTACTTGTCCCCCATACAATCACTGACTAGTCTACTGGGTGATGCCTTGCCACCGGTCATTAACCTATCTATCCGATGGAACTTTGTTGTGGTTAAAGACCCTGACCGCATGGCGTACCACTTAGCATTCTGATTCTGGCCTCTTGTCATCATTTCCACATCTCTTCTTTCCTTCTGGTCTGTTTTGCAAGAGTTGACGAAATCACTTGTGGTCATGTTTTCGGAGATAGGCGCGTAAGCGAGGGGGGTAGGCTGGGAAACTGCTGGGAAACTATGCACGAAATCGTATGGCTTGTTCTTCCCACTTGTTGAAATATCCAGTGCTAGACATAACAGATTCACCTTTGCAGATTTTGACAATTTTGTATTCACATTGTGTGCTCTGCATTCTTTGTTCAATCGTTGTATCGAAAGACCTGAAATGTCTGTGTACGTTTTCAACTTGTCTGTCGTTCTCTCCATTTTACCTGAAACAGCCAACAATCAAAGATTACTTGCTTGATTATAACCAAACCGTACACGTTAGGCCACAGCAAGTAAATCTTATGGTTGAAATCCTCCGCAGACTCCAAATCTAATGCGCGCGGGCGAAAGCAAAACAAGGCGGACCCCAAAAAACAAGATTCCTACATTTTAAAATTTTGACATCATAAACCTTGTCAATCACAAAAAAACTTGTGTTAGGTTTACCGCCAGCTATTGCAACATCCATTTCTCACTGAATTCGAAACAACTTTGAAAAGTGAAAGTTTTAAATCATTGTACAAATGGAACATCACATATACACATGCACCGTAACATATAAAAGAACTTATATCACTGCATCAAATTACATGTAATAGATAAACATTAAATTATCTATTGTACACGACGCATTAAAACGTCCCTCCTTTGACACCCTTTTTTCCACACCAAAAAGGCGCTCTTTTCTATGCATTCAGCCTCTATAATTAGACGTTAGAAATGTTTTAAAAGATTGAACTTACCTGCGAAGAAACATGATCCGCTGTCAGGTGAGAACAGGTAAATTTTTTAAATCTGTAACGAATAGGATCTGGAACGGAATTTAGAGCAGAACCTAGAACATGTGTTCTATTGTTCTGATTATCGCTCTTTGGCGTCTTGTACATATCTATCTTAATAGTCTATAAAAATGATATAGAGACACAAAATATCTTTTATGGTAATGGTTGCCAAGGGAAAAATGGTTGCCTAGCTACGGTTACTATGTAAATGAACGTTTATAGTATAACTATATACATACAAAAAATATACAATGCCATGTTGATGATGAAGATAAGTTTCGGACCTCCACACCAATTTTCATGTCATTTGAAATCGGAATTAAGACGTCTTACTCAGAAACTACTTTTATGATAATAGCTATTAAATGTTACCAAGAACAGCATAAAACGAAACAAAAAAAGATAACTCTGAATTTCAGAAAGTTTTATTTGAGGCAGGCATAATTCCACGATCTAAACCACGTCTTCTTCACGGCGCTTGGTGTGATTGTGTGAGCGGTTACAGGCGGCCTTTACCCATTTGGTGGCGAGACCGCCCCATTCAAATTGTGACGGGGTTGGCGGGCGCCAAACCGGATGTTGTCCGTCGCGCAAGGAATTGTGGGTATGTGAATGGGGCGAATGAAGGCCCTTAGAATTATTACCTCATACATGTACCCTAACACAATAAAGCGACATTAATAATTTTGTTAATTTTGATTTTTTACAAGGTGAAAGGGAGGGCAAAACAGGTGTATACACTCCTTTACAAGTTGCCCTCCCCCATACAAAAACATTATATACAACATCAAAATTTACATAGTTAATGACAACAAGTATAAAAATACACAGAATAGGCAATCAATATATACAATTGACTATTGATTAAACTTATGATTTATAGTCCTTCCATCAATATGTATGGTTTTGAATTAATGAATGAGACACTTTTTACAGGTGCTAGTGCTAGAAATGTAGGAATGTTGTTTTCATTCTGTATTTCTCAGGTAAAGTCTATAACCGTATGCGGGCAGCGTATGACAATGGAGACCTCGAAGCAGCACGTAAAGAACAGGTAACATAGAAAGTTTGTGTCTGGTCATTGGCAATGTTGTTTTAAATAGGTACTGCATACATGTAAAAAAGAATTGACTATAGGTTGTACACAATGACATTTGACATTTGTAACTGGTATCTCAGAGTTGTTACTCCGTGAAGGAGGTCAGGACCTCCGGACGGAGTGTTGTAATCGGCTGATTTTTCATGTTCGCAGTCAAAACACTGGGTTCTCTTCGTGTAATCGGCACGCAATTTGATACGCCGTCTGCGGGCATGCCCGTGTTGATGCACGAATGTGTATTTTTGCCGTTGCTGCTTTCGCGGTCAATGTAATATCGCAGACGCACCCCTACAATTACGAGGCGAATTGGAACGGTCCAGAAAAACGCGTTGTTTGGAAGTAGCGGGGGGGAGGTAAAAGTTCATGCAGATACGGGGTGGTTTTTATAAGTGGTTCCAGATGTTTTTGCCCATGGTTAAGAGATGCCAAGTTTTTTGGAAGATGTTCGCAGCCAAAACGCATTCTGCCGTACGTCGCATATCTGTGTAATTTCGCATGTGGTGTTGCATTATGTCCGGGATGATGCACGTCTTTTTATTTTTACCGTAGCTGTTTTGATATTGGAGTAAATGGTTATTTTCGAAACATCCCTACTTTTACAATCCTGTGGAATAGACCGTAGGTTTAGGCAGTTGTCTGGTAGCAGAGGTACTGTAAGCAGATATCCTGGTTATCTGGCCGGCGGTAGTAACACTCGCGGTGCTTACCGCCACTGTTGCTGGAATTTGGCTTGTTCCAGGCGCGCTTAATTAGGTACAGGCACCGTAAGACGGTGGGGCTGTCTTTGTTACTAGACACGACCATGATAGTCCGATCTTTATGTGAATGCAATGATTGTGTATGTGTAATTAAAATGAAGTTCGAACTTGAAGCAAAGTATCTTTACACGCCCTGGGAGCAGTAATGGATTTAGCTCTTTGTATGTTTTATGCTTGTGACGCGCCCTCATTGTATTAACCGTTGCTTAATTATAATGTCTGCACAGTAGGTCTGGCGTTGACGCTTGGGATTTTGTTGAAATATATAAAACTTCACGGAGAATTGTCACCTATGGCTTCTTGTTTTATATTCCAAAAACCAGGTACTCAAGCAACTGGATATGATTTTGGAAACTTTAAAATCAAAATCAAAATGATATCCAGTTGCTTGAGTAACTGCTTTTTGGCATATCGTGTTACCTGGATGTCTAACCTTCATCGACATTGTTTTATATTGTTTCAGATATTGTAGCTATGAGTCATGTATGAACACTATATTTATTTGTTTCTAGTGTATCTTAACTTGATTAGATTGATTAATTGTTGATTGGTTGTTTTGTATGATGTGATTTTCTGAACTTAAAAATTAACATACAACATAAATGATTGTATTACTGGGCATTTCCTAAAAATTTATTCCCTGTTTTAACTTGATTCACGATTCTGGTGATTTTTCACTTGAAAACCCAAAGTTGATCCCAAATCTTCTCAAAAAGGGGAAAGGTCTGCATTTTCAAGGTTCAAATGTAAAAAGAATAAAACATTTTTAGGGGGGTGGGTATTCATTATTTTACAGACATGACAGAGAAACTCTTGCAACAAAATGTTTCCCAACTTTAACTTAGCAAGCATACAATTGACAGTTTGACAGACATTGACAATGTATTTGACTTTGATTGACACTTTATTAATATTAGTTATTAGTTGCTCTTCCATTCCATAAAGAGCTGCATATTCTGATTTCTGACTGATTTCATGATCTTGGTTATTTCATGATTTCGCTGTTTAAGACCAGTAAGATTTACTTCTGTTTGATTTCAGCTTCTACATTGTGGTCAATTGATTTCTGATCTGACTTGTGTTTGATTTCAGCTTATGATTTTAGTTTGACTTCAGATCCTGATTTCTTTGTTTAAACCCCTACCACTGATTCCTACAACTGATTTCAATGTGATTTCTGCCTGTTTTCTGGCAGCTTATGTTACAAGATTTCAGATCCTGATTTCTTTGTTTAAACCCTTACCACTGATTTTTACAACTGATTTCGATGTGATTTCTGCCTGTTTTCTGGCAGCTTATGTTACAAGATGTCATTTCGCTACTTGGCCATTTTGGTGAGTTTTCGGCATGCAGAAGTTTAATAGTGCCGAATGGCAGCCGCTCCAGACCCTTGCAATTCATCAGCCCCAGCAATTTGTAAGCTCCTTGCTAGTGCTGTGTACCAGTTCACTGGACTTGGATCCGAACTTGTAAGAATGTTAGGGTTCAAGTCCAAAAAAAAACTAAAAGTCAAGAACCAAGTCCGGACTTACTACTTAAAAAAACCTTTCACATACCCCTTTTCTTTCCAAATCACCCAAAACCTTCTGTAGATTGCAAAATCTGTGCTGCAAAATGAAGAAAACATTGCCATCGGGCATCATCAAGTACTGGCCTCCATGTTATGTGGCCAACGTTTTACCCAAACAACATTGGAAGGTTGCCAATTGCAACATGCAATTATGGTTTAGGTTCAGACTTACAAGTCCGGAACTGAATCTAAACCTCTGGACTTGAATCCAGACCTGAACCTAAATGTGGGTTTAGGTACACAGCACTACTCCTAACAATTTGGCTGCAAAGAGTAGCTGGTCTACTCAATAACAGTTAGCCTCTACCAGGCTTCAGAAGCAGCCGGAAAGAGTAGAAATTGGCCAAATAGACAGATAACATGCCAGGGGAGTTGGTCCACTTGAGAGTATAGTTTTAGTTTGTCACCCTTTTTTCGGACCAACTCCCTTGGCATATTATTTGTCTATTTGGTCATTTCTACCGGTGCAATAGCTCAATTGGTAGAGTGCTCGCTTTGTAACCGGGAGGTTGTGAGTTCAAACCCCGGCCGGGTCATACCAAAAACTTTAAAAATGGTACACACTTTTTTCTCTGCTTAGCACTCAGCACATATGAGAAAGAGCGAGTGTGGGAAGGTCAAACACACAGCACTACCAGCGGACCAGCCCCCTGCTGTAGTGCCTTGCACAACTGTGTGTCGCCCAAGGGCTACGAAATGGAGATGGGCATCACCCTACGCTCGGCAAAAGAGCACGGGAGACCTTCTTCTTCTTTTCTACTCTTTCCAGTTGCTTTTGAAGCCTAGTAGAGACTAAAGAAGACTACAACAGCATTTATTTGAACCCCTAGCTGCTTGTTTCCGCAACTGATTTCAGTGTGATTTTTGCCCTTGCTTTTCTGCAGAATATGTCGCAACATTTCCTAAGGATACTTGTTCAATATGGTGAGTGGGTATCATGCACAAGGGTGTGAAAGGGGATGTAAGGACTCTGGATTATAGAATATTTTGTTGCTAACACCCAAGATCAAAAAAAAATTCTACATGTACTAACAAAATGACTAGTAAATTTCTGGGCATACCAACTACTCAGTATCAAATACCAGCTCAGAAAAGAACAATTCATATTAGAAACAGTCCTGCCTTCAAGTACCAGAGTTATCAACCAAGGATTGGGGTGTTAAAAAATTTATTTTTTCGTAGAAGTAAAGATGAACTCGTTGCCCCAAATAACATGTGAACAGTAGAGGCACTGATCACTAGATAGCTTGAAACAACATAAAATGAAAATCTAAACCTGTCTCCACAATACAAATTTTAAAAATTTGATTGTAGTGCCTATAATGTTAGCCCTATATGTTAGCCCTATCCTTGACATCTAATTTCAACTACATCTATGTTAGCCACCAAAGAATTCCTATAATATAATTATTAACAATACAATTCCACCTTTTTCTCAGTTCTCACTATTTCCTGCATTTTTTACGTGGTATCTGTCGCAACACTTTTGGACATGACAGATAGACAAGTTGGACAGAAAATCATAATTACGATCAAATTGTACTGTAAAGTATAACATTACATGACACTAAGAAATGCTGTGTTTCTAATGCAAGACACTAGTTACCATGGTGATAGACGTCTGGTTTAGGTCATTGACCTTATATTGTGCCAAAAAACCTCTCCTAAGGCTGAACTAAAAAATCTACTTCTGAGAATAGATGGGGTTTTTAGATTGGTCAGTAAAAATTAGTCATGAATTGTTTTTGCTTGCTGTAAGCTTGCCCAATATGCCAATGTTGCATATGGTCAATCATTTGCTGTGCTACACATAGGGACCAATTTGATCACAAATCAAATTGCCAGTGATACATAGCAAGATTTCAAATCAGTGCTATGAGATACAACCTACATGTACCTGCTATGCTGAACAAGCTTCAAATACATGTTTAGAGTTAAAACTTTAGATCCAACACAAAAAGTTCTCTCACCTAGAGCTTTCGACCAGTCACTCTGGTCTTCCTCAGTAGACTGACCCAGTGAGGCTTGTCACGTGGCTTCTACCAGACATCGTCTACCAGATACCTTTGACCCAGTGTTGACATCACACTTAAAAGAAGCCACGTGACAAGCCTCACTGGGTCAGTCTACTGAGGAAGACCAGAGTGACTGGTCAAAAGCTCTAGGTGAGAGAACTTTTGTGTTGGATCTTAAGTTTTAACTCTAAACATGTAACTACCAACGCAGATGAACTTTCATGAAAGCTTCAAATACAAATAATCATTATATTTGGTGCCAAATCAAAGTAAAATGAACAAATTACAAACAATAATAAGATGTTTAATGAATTTGACAAACTTAAGGTTCTGATGTTTCATGTATTCTCTTACCAAACAGCTGTTCTCCCAACGTTTCATGAAAATCATTTTTGACCATGGACCTGGTAAGAAACAGTCATGTTTACGTACCACATGCACTATACAGGGTATTTACTAGTAGGTAGTCTCCACTAGACTAAAAACACAGGTTCAAAAACAATGAAATTTAGCAAAGTAGGGCCTTTTGGAGCAGTTTGGTTAGATCACCATAGGTATATATTTCCATACAAACCACAGCAAAGAATGCAAGAAAGGTAACATTTGCAAAGCAAATGCATAATGTTTACCTTCACATATGGTCTGCTCTGTTAATTTTTACTCAAACACATTCTTGTATATGGTCAGACAGGAGTCTAAATCCCTCCTGCTATAAAATTGCAACATGATGTAACCAGACACCAGTTACCATGGTGACAGACGTCTGGTTCAGGTCATTGACCTTATTTGTTTCTAAAAGAAGAGGAAGAAGAAACAGCAAAAACAATACATTTTCCTTCTGCGAAGGTAAACATAAAAAGAAAAAGATTTGAGACAACTTTTTCACTGGGTCAAATAGAATACACCCTTAGCCAGGGTACACCAGAGTTTGTATTACCAAGATGAGTGAAATAATAGTCCATCTTCTTTTTCCTCTGATCATTCCAATGAAACCAATGACTGATAAATGAATGAAGTAAGGAACATTAACTGGAGACGAGGCTTTTTCTGACAGTTGTTGTTATGTGTGTGGATTGACAGTCCATGTCTCAGGCCCTGAAACGCGCAAGGGTGCTAACTAACGGACCTGGTAAGACCCTGGAAATATAAACCAGGGGTGCCAGAGAATACAGTGCAATTTTACGGAATACATTGCAATTTTATGGAATGCATTGCAATTTTACGGAATACAGTGCAATTTTCCTAGTATACAGTGCAATTTTACTAGTATACAGTGCAATGATATTAGTACTATACAGTGCAATTTTACGGAATACAGTGCAATTTTACTAGTATACAGTGCAGTTTTACTAGTAAAATTGCACTGTATACTAATAGAATTGCACTGTATTCCGTAAAATTGCACTGTATACTCTGGCACCCCTGTAAACCTTTTTCACAAAATGGCTACTTTCAGAAATTTGGCAACCTATCATTCTACAGATCATTGTCTTTTAATAAGGTTGAAAAATGGTAATATAAATTGATAAATGGAACAACAGATTTGTAATGTAAAAAGACTTAATTTGTAAATTGTAAATGAAGGATTTAATTTCACTTAATAGTTGATTTGTGATTTCAAGGAAGAAAATACCATTTAACTGAAATATAAATGAGATATTGACAAATAGAAATTTTAAAATAAAATGAAAACATGTACACAGATTTTCAAAACTCTTTCTTCTTTTCTTTAGCGTGTGATTTTCTTTCATATACATAATTTTGTTGATATGATTTTGATTTTAAGAATTCTTTGTTCTGAGCTCTCTTTTTTCCAATTTCTTGGTTAGTTAGGTATTAGGTAAATATGTTACCTGGGTATTTGATCGGTTGTGGTGTTGAGTTGATTTTTCAAAAGTAGTAGAAAATAAATTCAATTAACAGAAGCTGTCACTAACAATTTGTAAAACTTTCAATTTAAATTTGCCCCTCTTTATTGAAGTAGAATAGTTCAAACATTAATCAACAGTTGTTGCGAGCACGTCAGCAGAACATACTACGCCTGTGCAGATTTTTCACGGTTTTCTTTGGATTTTTGGTCAACGTTGCATCAGAATTTTGCCTGTTGCAGACGATATCTTTTGTGACATAACATTTAGAAACTACTGTCGGGATGTCAATCTTATATGTATGAATATGACCTTATATGAGAAGTTCTGCCGAAGTGCTATGCATAATACATTACAGATTTCACACAGGTGCAGTACGTTCTGCCGATGTGCTCACAAAATCTGTAAAGTATTATGCAAAGCACTTCAATCAGTAGAACATGTCTTTCATTTATTGTATTCATGCATATAAAGATGATATCCCGTCTATAGTTTTCAATTTTTGTGTTGGAAAAGATATCATCTGCAACGAGCAAGATTCTGAAGCAACATTAACTTTTCTTCCTATTGTCCCAGCACTGTCCCAAAAATAAATTTCAATTGTCACAAGGTGAGGATAAACTGTCTCAACCTGTTTTTTTGGGAAGTAATGTATGACTTCAACTTGAAGTCAACACTATTTTGCTTATGTTCACTCCCAGGCGCACTTTAATTGCAGAGTAGACAGGAAATTTGGGGGGACTTTTCCAGATCCAAAAGCCGAGACATGTGCTTCAAGCCTTGATAAACAAAAAAAAGGCTGATGTTGTTTTTTTATGTTGTCCCAAAAATGTCCCAAAGTGTCTTTTTAGTTGTACCAGCCTAAATGTTAGTGGTCAGTGGCCATTGGACCACCTTTAATTTCGAGCCCTGAACGTTGACCAAACATCCAATGAAAACCATGAAAAATATGGATTTTGCGCAGGCACAATACATTCTGATGACATGCTCCTGTTCTAGTTGTTGAGGTTATATTCTTCTCTACTATCCCAGGGATGGACATTGGGCTTAACAAGTACATCATGAGCATGGTCTCCGGGATGGATTTTGGGCCCCCCCGCCCCCCCATGCAGCGCCGCTCGGAGGAAGAGTTGGCCAAGATCAAGGCCAAACTCCAGGCCTGTGGTTTCTTTGAAGCCGTGAAGTAGAGCATCCCCTTATTCTTGCCACCGTTTGACAGCTGCACTGTGATTGGAGGAGGAGTGTAGTTATACTGTCATAGGGTAAAATATGCTCCAATCAGAGACCACGAGAGATGGTAAACTACCATGGCATGTTTCCAGTAGCACTTCAAATATGGTAGTACCGTATTTTGAAAGCCATTGTGTGATTGGCTGTTGAGTTAATCGTGTCAATGATAGCTTCCAATCAGAGAATGGCAATCTTCTGCAACAGATCATGCAATCTGAATGAATACAGTTCAGATTTGGATGGCATCTCACAGTTTTTAAGCTCTGTTTTTAACTTAAGTGCAATTGTTGTCCGTGATATGTCTAGCAAAAGTAGGTGGCCTGTGAACCAATTCTAAGTGCCTTAGAATCAGTTCTTAGATAGAAACAGGCAGTGATTGGGACCAACACAGACACCAGCTTGTGTACTGTAACTGTAACTGCAATAGAAAAGTTAATAGTTTGACATTATCATAGCCATAAATTGAAAATAATTATCATCCTCAAGTTATAGCAATCTTGTAATTATGTTTTCTCAAGCTTTGTTCAATGATAAATCTCAGTATAAAAGAAGACCAGAATAAGTAACAGTTGTATTTGCAATGTTAAAGATATTTAGATACAAGTTCATATAGCATTTATGCTAAACATACAAGCAACACGGGTTGCTTTCATTATCTATTGTGTCCATTGACAACATTGTGAGCTTTCAATAATACATTTCTATACGCTCACAATAGTAATCTTATTATTTGTGTTCTAGACACTTTTTACATAATTTTTAATCTAATTTTTGGTCACGTGTGTGACAACTATGGTACGTCAGTTTTCTTGCCAATTTTATGTCATTTTTTATGATGGCCGTTAATTTTTGTGACTGTATTTTTCAGATTTTGTTAGCAATTTTTATGATGTAATTCAGTAGTAGGATCCTTGTTGTGTTTTTTCATCAACAAAAAGGAATTATATGTACTTGGATGAACTACTAGTGAGACAATCATTATGTAAGTCTTCTCAACGTGGCAACTTTAACTGTTTAATTAACAGATTTAGTAAGAATTTTACTTCTTCAAACATACATTTTTTACAATGTACTAAAGTTATGTTGTTAACCTTCTCCTTGCTGCCTAATCCTGTAGCTAGTACAAATTTGGTGCCAAAAAGCTACCTCAGTTTGGAGAGGGTTAATTTTTAACCATTTCACAGTGAAACTGTGACAATGTACACTTTGGGTTAAGCAAGTATATGGCTGTAGCTGTACATGGGTTGGTGCAGGTACACAAAAAAATTTGTACCTATGGTCTTTCGTAGAAACCACCAGACTGCTTTTTCCACCCCCAAATCGGACTGGATTGCTTTTTCCGCCAACCGGACTGGACTGCTTTTTCCACCAACCCGCTGTACATGCTAACCAATGATGTTTTAATGGCAGAAGTTGTCAAATGAAGTAGTATAATTTTTACATGTGTTTAACATGTATATCATAACTTAATTTTACCACATCTATACGTACTCATTAATGTACAGTATTACACCATGACAAAGTTATAATAGTAATTTATCAAAACGTAGTAGTAACACTGAATATAAGCTTTAAAGGCAGAGTCTATTTTAAAGAGATGAAACCAACATTTAGATCTCAATTGTGGAAATAAAAGCTGTTACAATTACACATAGGACAGTGTGTTGAATTGAATGTTCATATACTGCAATGAGGGGGATATACTATAGTACCATACTTAGGCCACACCAATTTAATTTGTTGGTTCACAGATTCACCTCTTCATTTTTTTCTGAATTGCAAAAAAAAAAGATTCTGGTTCTGAATCAACTAAAAAATGCTCATATTTTGCTCCCAACAGTTAAGGCAAGTCCTTTTCTTTCTAGCTGTTACAGTTTTTCCATCTATTATATTCCGAAACATGCAATCGCCAGACGTGGTGACGGCACACTCAAGTTTTTTCAACTTATATTAATGCCGCCACCAACACGGGACAATACAGTACTCATTTTCACCTGAGCGAAATGAGAAAAGTCGTGTAAAGTGCCTTTCCCAAGGGCACAAGATCGGTGGCATGTCAGGACTTGAACCTAGGACCTCTTGGTTCCGAGTCGAGTACTCAGCCTCTACGCCACACGACCCCACATATATTTATAGTTTGGGACACAGTATGAAGCGGAATCAATATTTCCCTGAGGAAATAAGTTAGCCAAAATTCAACGAAACGTTTTCTTAGAATTTCTCTGAGTGGCAGACAGAAATGTGCAGCTAGGAAAATGTTATGATTCCGTAGTAATGTTACATTTTGGAGCCTCCCAACATCTGCTTGGAGATTACTAAGTAGATAGACAAGGTCAAACATAGCGAGAATAGAACCTGGTGTTGGTCAGCAGAAAAAAGTCATCCTTGTGCAGAGGAGACCACATCAAGCTTATTATTCAATCGTAGTGGTAATGAGGAAACATCAGACATTAATTCACCTCATTTGCATGTTCGTGACATTTTTAAATGGTACATTTTAAAAATGGTACTCTAACCTATTATAGCCAGGTTGCTGTTTGGAAATGTGTACAAAACATTAGAAAATGCATTAGGTTCACAGAATACTGCATTATAACGTGTAAAAAGACTCACTCTTTGTACCTATACATGTATTTGTCAAACATAATTAATCCTAAGAAGTAGATAACTGAAAATCAGTCTCACAGTAAAATATTTTTCTATCCTCGGGAAACTCGTAAATGTTTACACATTGTCACTTATTATTTCACTCAAAACCTAAAGAAATTAATATCATTGGTTTTCGGCATGTCAACACTTTGACAAAGTTATAATATCAGTTATTCTGTAAAAAGTTGAAACCCCCTTACGAGCCTCCGAGGTTTGGCCATTCCCAAATCGCCGGAATCCGCGAGTGGGCTAAATCTCTTAACTGTTACAGGTGGTCCCGATTTCTCACTTCCGGGTTTGAACCGCCGAAATTAGGTTCTCTTGGGGGTTACCAATTTTTCTTGATTGATGCACACATTTTTATTTTTCTAGAAAACGCTAAGTATTTTCACTACGTTTCCAACGGTTCTGTCGTGCGTTTTATATTGTCCACAAATACCACCGAAAAGAAAAGCCGTACGTTAAAGTTTTTGTGGTATTTTTCGGTGAGTTCACGGTCTCCGAGTTTGCAGAATGCACAATTTTCTGAGAAACGAGCGGCGAAGCCGCGGCAAACACGTGGCTATTCTCACAATATAAACGGTTCGGTATCGCGGAATACAACAAAACTGAGCATAAGTTACCAGATTTTTATCACAAATAACTTAATCTCATGATATAAAATTTCTATTTCTGCATTTAAACTGAAGGGGAGGCGTAGTTGATAGGGGATAAAGCCGGTTGTCTTTGGCGGGCTGGAGGACCCTGCAGGCCCGGCGGTTTTGGGGAGGGAGCCGGTGTATCGGAGGGACCCTGCATGGCGACCGGCTCCCTCCCCAAAACCGCCGGACCGCCTTTCAGAACGGTCGTCGCCTTTCAGAACGGTCGTCGCCTTTCAGAACGGGCCCACAACCGCCCAGTATAGTAATTTTGCGACCAAAATGTTGGAAATTTGAGAGTAATTCCTCTACCTGGAGAGTACTACGGAGCAAGGGCGGTTTCTGCTCGGCCAGCTAGCCCGTAATGAATACAACGGCCCACGGAGATACGCCGCCGGCCCACAGACACCGTTTAGCCGGTTGAAATCTTGTCGCTAGCGGGCCGCGAACCCGCCTATCCCCGCAGTTACTCTAGCGTCCATGGTTAACCGGTTCCTTTCTCTGGCTTTAATGTCCGTTTTCTGCAAGAGGAACAGCGTCTTTAGAAACCCTTCTCGTTACCGGTATCTTTTGGACTAATGAAGCACTGTGTCCCTCTCCTCGACCGCGGCTTTCTTCCGGACCCCTCGACAGTGTTGTTTGGTGTTCAACATACGCAGTGCTACCGCTTCAACAGTGTCCATAGTTCGAAGATTCAGGCAAATTTGAAGCACAATTTGAACCATTAAATGCATATAAACTCCACATAAACTTCCTATAGTCTGGAACCTCGAAGGGAGACCGCTCAATCCACGATAGAACTGCGAAATCGCACGTTACGAAGATGCCTGCAAGTTCATGGATCAAAAGCGACCCCTAGCAGTTTGATTCAGGACTGCACCAATATGCTGGCCGAGAACTGCAGTAATTTGTTATCGCCGCCTAGGGGCGCTTTTGATCCATGGCAGTATCAATTAATATGTTGGTTTTATCGCCGTTATTGCGCGCTTTTGATGGTGATATCAAACAATATGCGGGCTGTGCTGCTCCAGAACTGCAGTGATTTTTATCACCGCCAAGGGGCGCTTTTGATCCATGGCAGTATTAACCAATCTGTTGGCT